CCCATGTTACGGCCCAAGAGGCTCTGGAGGTACATGCATCGCCCTTCCCCAGCACGATGATTGTTAACTCTCACTGAGCAAATTATTCTGGCCCAGGACCCATGGTGACAGCTTCAAATAAATTATCCCATTGCCTTATCACAATAGCTCTATAATTGGTACTATTATTATGCCCATTTTACAGGTGAAAAAATTGAGGCTTGGGAGATTAATTACTTATTCACAGCCACTCAGCTAGCTAATAATTAGCAGGAGAAAGGTGTGAACCCAAGTCTGTGTGTCTACACAAAACCACAGACTTCAGGGACATGTGTGTTTCTGAGGATCGTGGCCCGCTGGCCTAAAGGGGATCAGGAAGGAGATTTAAGAGGAAGGAACTTTGCAGATGTTTTTACAGTCCTGTACGAAATACCATGGAGAGTACACAGTCATGTGGAGTCTTGGGCTAAATTCCCCAGGTGGCAGATAGGACAAGCCACAACCCTTTCCCACACACTCATTCATGCTTTACTTCACACATTCAGCCAACACGTCCTGTGCTAGTCACTGGAAATATGGATTAAATAACACCAGGTCTCTACCTTCAGTCAGCTCGCAGGGAAACGGGGGCAACCAGCTTGTAAATGAATGATTACACTGCAGGGACATGAGTTGGTGGATGGAAACTTTGCAAGGCTGGGGGTGGGGGTCCACCCAGATCAGAACCTAAAGTGAAGGAAAGAGCAAAGGCCTCTGAAGTGACATAACAACTGGATTTGAGTCCTGTTTATGTATGTGGTATTGAGCCAGTTCAAATCCTTTGAGCCCTACAATCATTTTTTTGCTAGATTACAAAATACCAGTCTGATGATATTACCAACCCAAAAAGGTTTGGGGAGAGGATTATAAACAAAAGCACCATTATCCATCATCCTACTGGCAAAAATGGAAAATGTGGGGAAAGTAAGTATGAAAAGGTATGAAACAATGTAAACATTTCCATACTACAGGATCAGGTAGCAATGCAGTGAAACAGGTGTGGACGCTTGAAGGGCTTGGGGTGCCCTAAGACTTTGAAACCACCAGCCACCCTTTCAGGGGTCAAATCTTTCCATATGAGATTGAGGAGAAAAAAACATTTCCAGAAATTGGCAGGTGTTTCTCCCTAGAGTAAGATGATAAAGAAAACACAACCAGTACTTCCCACTGGATCTCAGAGAAATCAACTAACCGAATCGTAAGTACCCACTGACTACAGCCACATGTGCAGCGCTGTGGGGATTACTATGTAGAACTTTAAAGAGCTAACGAGTTCGTTGGAAAGAAAAGAATAAAATATAAGAAATACATTGTGATGATAGAAGAAGATTTGAGTGGTAACAGTTTGAAGGGTGGCTTGGGGGAACCAGGAACAAGAGTAGAAAGCCCAAACCCGAGACTCTCTGTGATCTACGCTACCTCGTGAGGGTCTGCACCTGCAGGCAGCAAGGGGCCAGTAACCCTCAGGGAAAATGGCAGGACTTGGGACATTAGAAATACAAATGAAGAACAAAGAAGAAAGAAAAGTCAAAGAATCCTGCAGAGATTCTACCAGGCTGGGAAACTGGCAGAAAAATAGTGCCTTGGGTGTGGGGGCCGGCAGACGTCAGTACTGGAAAGAGGAAGTGTGTAGACGTTAAGTGAGAACGAATTCAGTTTGTGGGGATGGGCGAGTCCCCCCCACTGGAAAAATCATAGAAGCGACTGGGATCATGAAATTGAAATGACGGGTGATTTCACGTGCGCTAGAGAGATATACTGGAGGCGGCCATCAATAAGCTCTTGGAGGAACCAGGAGAAGGTCTGAAGGAAGGTCCTCAGAGAACCCCCGCATTGGGGAAGGCAGGATAAAACTGAGGCATTCAGGGAGATAAGGAGCATTCCCAAGAATGGGACGGAACCCCCCAAATCTGGTCCACAAAGACCAAAGTAGGAGAGGCTATCACAAGCAAAGGGACTGCCAGCCGTGCCGCGGCGCAGAGATCAGGAACAAACGAGCAGGGGACTAAAACGCCTATTTGTTTTGCAAGATGTTTCAACACAATTCGGGAGGAAATGCCAGCTTGTATGAAAACCCAGACTGGGGTATCAGGAAGTGAAGACCTCTGTAGAGACCACAAGCTTGAAGGGTTTACCAGGAAAAAGAAGAGGGGGAATTAGAAGGCGTAGTAAGATCAAACTCAGGGCTTTCTGACATATGGAGGCTGGTGCTGTAAGAGATGGAGGAACCAGAGACACCTTGTGGAAGCGAAAGCCCACAGGAGGTAGGTTCAGAGTTCACGTGAAGCAGGCATCTTTAAATAAGAGGAAAGAAACCTTTCCTTTGAGAATAGAGCGGGAGAGTCCACATCAGAGCCAGAGCTTTTATGTGGAGAGAATGAGGGTACGTGAGACGTTTGCGAGGATGGCTTTACTTTCCACTGATCTCATGGCCACGAAACCTTTATTGGTTTCAGTTACTGAAATCTGCAGGTTGTCACTGCAGCATTACCCAGCCCATCCTGACTCAACACAAGGAGAAAGTCGCCTCCTGAAACTGGACCACAGGGAAGAAATGGGGCTTTAAGGAAACAAAGGGTATGAAAAACTATGCCAGGACCCAAGTGATTCAAAAAATTTCTTTCCCCAACATGTGTTTTCAAAATTTCAAACCTTCCAAAAACTTCAGAAACTAGCATAATGACACCCACAGGCCCTTCCCCAGATTCATTTTGCCACTTTTGTGGACCCAAGACACTTTCTTTCCTTTTTCTTTTTAAGAAAAATTTTTAAAATAAGTTGCAGACATCACATCACACTGAACATTCCAGCATGAATGTGCTAAGGAAAAAAGATGTTCTCCTATAGAACTGCAATACTGTTTTGATACCCAAAGACTTCAATAGTAATACAGTAATTTTATCTAGTATACATCCATATTCAGAAAGTCCGAATTATTCTTAAATTTACCTCATAGCTATTTTCCTTCCTTGTATAACCATATGAAGGATCACATACTGTATTTGGTGTGTATGTGTATATATTATATACATATTTTTATATGTGCTTGGGTATATATATAAAGGCATATATGTGTGTATATATATATATATAGAGAGAGAGAGAGAGAGAGAGAAAGGCAATAAAGTAGGCTAGGTAGAACTTCAGCAGTTTATTAAAAATAATAATAATAATAATAATAATAATAAAGGGAGAAATGTGGGATCCACATATAAATCAAGTATAAAAATCAAATGAATATTCATATTTGACCTGATTGTTTATAGTTCATAATGCGTGATCAAAACCAAAAGTTTCTGTGATGACTGCCCTTGCACTGTTCACCATGTAAGAACTTATTCACTATGTAAGAACTTGTTCTCCATGTAAGAACTTGTTCGTTATGCTTCAGAAGATTGGAGACTGTTGAGAATTAGCCTTGGGGTTGATTAATGATTGTGCATTGAGCCCCCTATACAGAATTTTATTGTTGTTAACAACCATTTGATCAATAAATATGAGAGATGCCCTCTCAAAAAAAAAAAAAAAGTAGGCTAGGTAGAATTTGGGTAACCTGACCTTTTAATGAGCCACAGTTGCCCTGTGGGGAAATAGGAGCAATAGCAGTAAGGAGATCTGCTTGTTGAGATCTGCTTGGCTGGAGAGCACAGGCTTTTGCTTGAGATTATCCGTGACCATGTCATGGGGACGGTGGTGGTGGCGGCCACGACGGTAATGATGTAGATGAATGGTACATAGCATCAAAGGAAAATGATGATTTTTAGATGTTAAAGGACCAGCAAAGAAAAGAAAAATCAGAAATATGATTTGGCAATGTACAATTAACATTAATTAGACTCTTTATACTCTACCAAAACCTGTTTAATTACCATGCATTCAATAATAAATCATTAAATCTATGTGAAATTAATTTGTTCTAAGTGCTCTTCACATATATGCTCAATTTGCAAGCAGCATAGGCCACTCCTTCCAACTTTAATTAATTAGAGTTGGCATTGTGATGGAATATCTATTTACGGGCCAGGTGCAATTGAAGAGGGATGGGCTACGTTCACCGTAGGGAATGTTTAGAGGGATTTAAGGTGGGAGAGACTGAGAAGCCTACACTCAGAGCCAGGGTGACCTTTGCGGTCATTTATTTCAACGGGTCCCTTTTATATTGTGGGGATCCCTGGTGGCTGTAACATGAGGCCATGTGCTCTGCTCACTATTTCAAGATGACTAACAGAAATGCGAGGTTTCCTCATGATAAGGCTGCGCGGCCTCCATGAACTATCAGTTCTTTAGTTCTTGTTCTGTTTTTGGCGTGAATGACATTAACTCTTTGCAGTAACATCCGTTATCTTCTGACCAGATGCACCGACAGCAGTTAAATACGTCTTGGATGAAAAACAATGGATGACAAATTAATTTATTTAATCAATGAGTTTATTTGTAGAAGCGATTTTTTTGAAATAAGGGCAACGATCAGGGTGCTGAGGGAACTCCTATGAGTGCTTGGAGTGAAAAGATAGACCAACACCGTTCTTGCCACAAACCCTGGTTTTATAGATGATGAAATTGCCCAAGGGACACACCCGAGCTCATGCGGTCACTTAAAAGAAGCCGTTAACCGCATGCTTCTAGCCTGGCAAAGGTTGGTTGAGGAATAAATTTAGTGAACTAAAAGCAGGAGGCCCCTGGTGACAGCAGGTCTCAAGGCCAGACTGCTGCCTGCCAACCCAGGGAGGCGCCGGTGTCCTGTAGGCAGCGGGCGGCCGGGAGCCTGGGGGGTGGGGGGGGCTGAGTGCGTATCCGCCTGGGGGCTGAGAACGGTGGGGGCACCAAAAATGGCATTTGGATTCTGAATAGCAGCTCTGGGGTGGTGCCCTTCGGTGCGGGAGAGAGCCCAGCGAGGAAGGAGAAGCGAGGACAAATATTCGAAAGTAACCTGGGAAGCCCTGGGAAGGCTGAGATTCCCAGACTGACTTTCGGTCCGCAGGGTTCCCCGGTGCGCCCGCAGCCGGGCCGGAACGATGAAGCCCCCGGGGCCGGAGAGCCGCTCCGGGCGGCCGCGAGAGGCCGCTGCCCGCGTGGCCACCAGGGGGCGCCGCAGCCCAGCCGCTCTGCAAGGAGCCCGGGGTCCCATCCACGGGGACCGGAGACGCAGGCTCCCGTCCGGCGGCAGCATTTACCAGCAGCTGTGGTCACGCCGTGTGGGAAGCGATTACCGGGACTACTCTTGTCATTTCCCTTATTTGTCCCCCAGTGGAGGTTCAAGGAGCCCCGCGGCCGCATGTGCGGCCTGGCAGACGCGCGCCGGGCGCCCGGACCTCAGGCCGAGACGCAGCGCCCCCGCCCGCCCGCGGGCCCCGGCAAGGCCCCCTCGGCCCGCCCCGCGCCCCCCACGTCCCCGGTACACCCGGCTGCCCCGCGCGCGATGCCGGGCAGGGTCCGCCCCGGGAGGCTCGCCCACAGCTCCGCTTACCTGCAGTCTGCACGTAGAAGGTACTACGCACGCTGAAGGTGAGGACCCTCCCTTGTTCTCCCAGCCTCCAGAGCTGGGCGCATGGAAGAGCTTAAGATGTCAGTTTGGGGTCAAATAAATGATTAAGTCAGAGAAGGACTGACTAGGGCATAGGAGGCACAGGGACGAAGGGGGGGCAGTGAAGACATTGCCAGGAAGGAACATCCCCGGAGGGGCCCGTGAGTCTGAGGTTGCTCCGGGGAAGTAGAGGACACGGTGCCGGGCAGCACGCACAGGACTGAGTTTTGGGGTGCTTTGGATGTCAGGATGAGAAATCTAGGCTTTGGTGAGCCAAAGATAAACCGATGTAGATTCTTGCTCTGGTAACCGGGAAAACAGGCGCTTTCTGCTTCCTCTCACCACAGCTGCACACACCGCTCTCCTAGCAAAGGCCATACAACTGGCCGCTTTCCCAAAATGCTGCTTTTGCAAACCGCTGTTTCCATATTCCCGTCTCTACCAAGGCCAGTGGGAGAGGCAGTACGTGTCAGGCGCTGAACGGGTCTGCTTTCCGCGGGCTCCGTGACAGCGCGGCCCCTTGGCACCAATGCCTCCCATTTGAATGGGCCCGGGACCGTGGTCGGCAGGCAGGCAGTGCACACGAGGGCCCCCCAGTCCACCTTCCCAGGGAATAGGTGTCCTCAGAGCTGGAGTCTGGGGGAGACGGCTGAGACAGGAAATAAAAGTCTCCACAATCAGGAGCAATGACATTTAATAAAGTGATTAGGCAGTGACATTAAATAAGTTCTCAGGCCATTTGAAGTGATGAATGTGGGCGGATGGAGGCCAGGACCTGTGAGAGGAGGGGTGTGGAGGGCCCGGCTGCTCTTTTGATTAAAACTGTGTGTTTGCGGGGGCTGAAATTTCAGGAACGTGTTGTTATTAATTGGTTGTCACCGGCCTTGAAATGGTCGTGACTATTAAATAGCTGTCTTTGCACAGAGGTGAGCCGGTGGGAGGAGCAGCACGTGAGGAGCCGAAGGCAGGCCTCGTACCACGTCCCTGGCAGTGGACACCTCGTCTACTGACACTCGGCCTCTCCTGCCTCCGCTGATGTCCTCTTGTCTTGGCTCAAGGCTGGAGGAGCTTGCGGACTCCTTTATTCTTCCCTCTTAGGACCAGGGGATGGAGCTGTCCTGGGAATCACTGTGGCTTCAGAGTTAGGTCCCTTATCTGTGACTCCAGGCCAGTGAGAGTGGAGAAAAGAGGCCTGGGTTTTCATTCTGCACCTGCTTTAGGAGGTGCCTGAGAAGACGAAGGCTGATGCAGGAAGATGGGGCCAGCTTTGTTAAGCATAGACTCCAGTCGCCTGTCGAAAGCAGTGACCCTTAGGAAAGGACTTATGTCTGTAGAATTTGAGAACTGATAGGAGACTTACAATCTTCCAGACTGATGATTCCCAGGACGTGGGGTTTCATGAACCGGTAAATTCTTTTTTAAAGGAAGGCCAACTTTTTACACTGTCAAATAAAATAACAAATCACCGTCTACCGCTAACAAAATTACATAAAATATAAAAAATAGGAAGGTCATCAAAATGAAGGCAGGACATTAAATGTAATACAACTTGCTTTATAAAAAACTTGCTTTTTCCTCACTTTGTGGCTTCTTTTTAACCAGCCAACCAGTCACCCACGTAACTGGGAGACGGCTTAGCACAAATGTAGCCTCAGTCATGCCAGTAGAAACTGACTTGCTATGAACGTTAGCTAACACTTAGTGAGCGCTCACTAGGTATTAGTAAAACCTAAGTAAAAAACTTACAGTGGGAGGATGTGGAGAAAGGGGAACCCTCCTACACTGCTGGTGGGAATGTAAATTAGTTCAACCATTGTGGAAAGCAGTATGGAGGTTCCTCAAAAAACTCAAAAGAGAAATACCATTTGACCCAGGAATTCCATTCCTAGGAATTTACCCTAAGAATGCAGGAACCCAGTTTGAAAAAGACGTATGCACCCCTATGTTTATAGCAGCACTATTTACAATAGGCAAGAAATGGAAGCAACCTAGGTGTCCGTAAGTAGATGAATGAAGATGTGGTACATATACACAATGGAGTATTATTCAGCCATAAGAAGAAAACAAATCCTACCATTTGCAACAACATGGATGGAGCTGGAGGGTATTATGCTCAGTGAAATAAGCCAGGTGGAGAAAGACAGGTACCAAATGATTTCACTCATCTGTGGAGCATAAGAACAAAGGAAAAACTAAAGGAACAAAACAGCAGCAGAATCATAGAACCCAAGAATGGACTAACAGTTGCCAAAGGGAAAGAGACTGGGGGGAGGAGGGAGAAGGGGAACAAGGGGCATTACGATTAGCAGACATAGTGTAGCAGGAGGATGGGTGACATGGGGAAGACAGTGTAGCACAGAGAAGACAATTAGTGACTCTACAGCATCTTACTACGTTGATGGACAGTGACTGTAATGGGGTATGGGGTGGGGACTTGATAATAGGGGGAATCTAGTAACCACAATGTTGCTCATGTAATTGTATATTAATGATACCAAAATAAAAAAATACTTACAGTGGTTTATTTCTTATGTATTTTTGCATGCATTTATTTCATCTTCCCACACTCCTAGAGAGGAATATGATTATTATTGCAGTTCTGTAGAGGAGAAACTGATGCACATTGACTTCAAGTGACTTGCCCAAGGTCTTACAGCCAAGGCTGATGGAGCCATACTTCAGACCCCTGAGGGTTACCTGGCTGAAATGGAAACAGCCTGGATGGGTAAAGTTGGCCAACCAGCTTGAATCCTAGGTTGGAATTAAAAGTGTGTGTGCATGCACATGTGTATAAGAGGTATAGGATGTGGGAACATGTGTGTGCCCTTCTTTAGATGATTGAAAGAAAAAGGTTACGTCTTCACAGCAATGTACATATTATTCCCATTGAATTTTCAAGAACCATTATGAGCATGACAAAGAATATTGTACTACATTCACTTCAAGATGGGGAAATCTGTAGGAAAATAGGATATTATCACTAAGAATTAGAATAGCTAATATTTATTAGCACTTTAACATGCATCAATTCATGTAATCCCTGCCCTGAATTTAGTAGTTTCATAATATCATTACACTATTTAACAGATTGTTGCTGTTGAACAGCCTGAACCGGGACACAGAAAAGTGAGGGGACCTGCCCCACGTCCCCATTAGTGAGAAGATCTAGGATTCCCATCAGAGACAGATATGAATTCCTTTTTCTGGAAGACAAGCAGTACATTAAAAACACAAAATTAGGTACAAAAGCAAAGGCTATTTAGAATGAGGAGATAAATCATAACAAATTACACATTTCAAAAGCTTATACATAACAAATATTACCAAATCTAGAAAAACAACATTTTTATTAATGAACTGCCTGACACATCTCTACCTTCCCCTTCCTCATTTTGGGGGGTTTATTTATCTTTGTTTATTGGTTGGGGTATGTATATATGTGTGTGTTTTAATTGTATCATAGAGAATTTTTTCAAGAAAAAACGAGATACATATAGATTTGTTACAGGAATTGGACCTTACACAATTATGGGATCAATTACGCGTTCTTGCAAGGTTTGCTCTTCACATCCCCTGCGGGAGGTTACAAGCCACTGGGGAGGCAGGTGGGAGGGGGGATGGGTGTAAAGACAGTTATCCAGGACAAACTGGGGCCCAGTCAGGGGCTCTCCTGTGGCCCATCATAATAAAAAATACATAAGCGTGAACATTCTGGGAAGTGTATTCAGCCTATTCAAGTTGACACATAATATGGCTGTGCTGTTTCTGCTGATGTTGGTTAGATGTTCAATAAATGTCATATTGTCTAGGTGGTGGATGGTGGTAAGTCCTATCAACACTGATTATCTGTCTGTGTGTGTCCACTTTTGAGAGAGGAGTATCGATTTTCATACTTGTGTTTGTATTTTGTTTCCATTTCTCCTTGCTATGTATTTCAAAATATTTCCACTAAAATGTATGAAATAGTCAATCAATGTTTGTTATTTTAATGGTGGTTCATTCTTTGCCTCTTCATATAAATTGGGGTGGAAAGAGCCCTCAGTCTTGCCTAATTGCAATTTTTTATATATTACATGTAATACAAATATATACATATGTATAAATGTAGTTTTACAAAGTAGATATGCATGTTTTGTATACATCCATCAATATATAATAATACATAAATCAATATAGAATATATATGATTTTTTTTTTTTTACTAAAATATATGACCATGTGCATACATTGCTAGGGCTTTGGACGGGGCCCGTCAAATGAAGGGCCCTGTCTTAAGTTTTCTCCTCTGATTCTAGCCCAAACTCCAAAGCCCAAACTCTCACCCACTACGCTGCCTCTCCAGTGAGAGAATCCGGGCTATAGACCAGGACTGACTCAAATACAGATAAAGAATCACCACATGTACCCCAGACTTCCACTGTGATCCAACTAGTGCATCAACAGATCTCAGCAAGTGCACTCGACGTTTGTCCAAGAATGTATCCTGCGTTTTGCTCAAGAAAAGATGTCAACATTCAGCCAATCCCAATGTTACAGAAGTAGATAAACATTCAAAGGAAAGCTAAGATTGTGATTCCTGCTTTAAGTAGGAAGCTGGGCCAGCCAGGGCCGTATTATCTTCTGTCTGAATGAAAGTGTCCATCTAATTTTCATTTGCTCATAAGTTCTGCACAGATCAGAGTCATTCAACAAATATCAGTCACATACCTGGTTGAACAGTAAAACAAGCATGGTGTTTACATGGTGTTTTATGAGCATGAGTTTTACTACAGGTGAAATTCACCTGTGTGTTGTATGCTTTTCTGCTAGGTTAGCACAGGGAGACAGCTCCATGGGTATAGTTGCTGGATAGAGAGTCTACAGAACTCTTTCCATCAGAACCCGTGGAAACAAAGATAGAACACAGTAGTAACAACAGCAATAGTATCTTACATTTTTGAACCGTTGCCATGTATCTTATTCTCTGCCAAGCACTTTACACATAGTTTCCCACTGAATCCCCCAACAACCTACAGGTAGGTACTTAGCCACTATGCTCTCAGGGAGGTAGTGCCATTCTAGTAAATGGAAGCAACGCTTTTGGGCCAGTGAAATTTACCTAGGAAACGGGAGAGGTTAATGGACGGAGATGAACCAAAAGTATTTGCAAAAAACTCCAACCCAGCCCAGAATCTGCTTGCAAATATTTCCATTCCTCCATAGGCTCTGTCTTCTCCACCCCTGGGGCAGGGAGAGGAAGAAGTCTTTTTAATAATCAATGTCATTTAATGTCAAGGACAATCAACCAAAACTTCCCGTGAAATTTTTAGCACCACTGCTTGCATTTTTAATCAAGAAAAACATCCCCATCTTCCTTCCCCAGTGAATTCCGGCCTCCATCCACCCACATTAATCACTTCAAAATGGTCTGAGAACTTATTTAATGTCACTGCTTAATCACTTTATTAAATGCCACCACTCCTGAGTGTGAATATTTGTTTTTATCTCATCTCTGACATCTTCCAGAGAGCCCTACTCTAAGAACCTCAACTTTCTTTCAAACAACCTGCATTTCCCACTGCGCACCCGCGTGCCTTTCCTCGCCGGAAGGACCAGATGGTGAAATGGGAGGTAAAATTGCCTGAAATGCTACCATAGAAAGTTACTGCTATTCACTAAATATCACCCTCTCCAAACCCCTCCCTTCCAAGGGGAACAACATTTTACCCTGTTAATTTTCATTTTTAATTATTTTTCTCTGTTCTGAAAAAAGAATGGGGCATGAACATTCTAGAAATGTCAAATGAAAGGTTACTGAGAGAATAAGGAACAGAGAAAAAGAGCTTCTGTCACCAAAAGGAATACCATCAGAATGGTTCTTGCTCCTTGACCAAAACCAAGATGGCATCGCCCACCTGGGAAGAAACGCCGGGTGGCGAAGGGCCAGATGATGGTGGGAGGCAAGGAGGACGACGCTGCCTCTACAGGAGGCGGTAGTTTTCACCGTAGCTGATTGAGTCTTGGAGGGAAAAGCAAACTAAACCCTGCCGAGTGCCTCCTGAATGTCACGAAGACAC